AAAAATTATAACTATTAATTAGATTTTACAAATTTTTCATTAGAGATAACTAAAAATTTTATTTTTTGATATATCTATATTTTTGCATCGGATCATATTATATTATTAATTCTATATAACATTAAATTATTATTTAAAGATATTATTTTTGTTTTGTATTTTTAATGATAATTATATAATAAAAAATAAGTTTTTAACATAATAATCTTGTTTGTCTTGAATTAATTTTCTGTGTAAATTCTATTTTAATTAATATTACTATATATCTTGAATCTTCTGTATGAATTTTCTTGATATATTATATAACATAACTAGAAAGATTACAAGAATAAATATTTAGAATTATATCCTACTATTATTATTAATTCTAATATTTTTGATATAACTACTTTATAAATAGTTTTAGATAATGATGAAAAAGCATTAAGAGATAATTTTGCTAAGTATTATTCTTGAATAAATTTGAGAAGTAATTTTACTAAGAGATTAAAAGATTAGAAAAAAGTTAATGATAAATCTTGATATAATGAAAAAGCAGTAAGAACTCATTTGAAAACTTTAAAATCTATTTTAAAAAGTATAAAAAAAAGAGATTCATTAGATTTAATTGAGAAAAATAAATTAGAAAAAATCAAAAGATATTTAACAAGAATTCTAATATCAACTAAGAAAAGAATTCTTCCTAGTAAACTAAAAAGTATATTAAGAATTGTAGAATTTGGTATTTTTCATGAAAATACTTAATGATAAATTAATTATTTTAAGAATATTGATTTTAAAATCAAGACTGATGAAATTAGAAAAATAACTAATAAAATTAATAAAGAAGATAAAATTAAAAAGCCTGACTTTATCAAGTATTTAAAAAAAAATTTTTCTACTAAACCAGATTGATCTGAAGATAATACTGATAAAAAAATAGTATTAAATTGATTCTTTGCTCAAAATTCCAAAATTATAATTGAAACTATTACTTCTCAAGAATTAAAAGTGAATAATAATCTCAAAGTTATCATTATTAAAGAAATAAAAATTATAAAGATGATGAACTAGGCTTAAATAAGTCTAAATATTTCAAGAATGAGAAAGAAAAATTTATTGTGAAAGCAATTAATTTGTTCTATTATAAAAAATTAGGAGAATAAAATCATGTTAAGAAGAAGTATGAAAAGTCTTTTGAGAATAATAAATAAGAAGATTTCTGAAGAATTAATAATTCTTCTGCTTGAGCAGCTAGAGAAGGAATTCTTTTATTACTAAATAGTCTGAATTGAGCCATTTGAAAAAGAAAACTCCTGATTAAATGATAAGAAAATCTAGCTAAACTAGAAGAAGAGGATGAAGAAGATGATGATTAATAATAATTTGATTATTTATTTTGCCAGTCTTCTTTTTTTTCTCAATTTATCATATACTGATATTAATATTCATTTATGAATTCTTATTTTCTATTTTTCTTGATAAATTTCATAAGTAATTTTTTTCTTGATCTAGATATTTCTGAAAAGTTTGAGTATTATTAATTTTAAAAATGTAGAAAGCAATTTTTTTTCTTGAATTTCTTTAAAATACTTTTAATAGTACTATAGTTCTTGAGTTTCATAATAGACTTAATATAAATTAGTTTTATATTAATATTTTATATAAAGATAATTCTATATATATTAATCCTATTATGATTTATATTCATCATATTTTGATATGATAAAGTGAGCATTAAAATTAATAAGTCTATAAGCATCATTATTACTTTTTCAAATATCATTAGTCACTGATCAATTTTACAGTCACATTATAATCAGCCTCTTATTTATGTCACATAATAGAATGTTCACTTTGTCTGATTTTGTTGCAGTCTGCCCTAATTATGTTTGTGTCACAGTATATATCATTCTCTACTTTATACTACAAAACAGAATGTTCACTTTGTCTGGTTTTGTTGTAGCATATTCCATATTATTTATTATATATATTTAATTTTATAAATAATTCAATTTGATATAAGTTATTTCTTTTTTTTTGAGTCTTGTAATAACATTATATTATATAATAAGAAAGTGAGTATTATAATTCTTCTCAAAGTATCATAATTACTTGAGCTTATTGTTCTAAATTTTAGGCCAAAATTATTATAATTAAATAATTTTTTAAGTGATAAGTTGTGAAATCTAAAATACAGATTAATTTTGTAATAAATTTTACTGGTATAATTTTTTTATATTGCATATTAGAATAATTATTATGATATTTCATTTAATCTGTAGAGTATTACTGTATATAGATAGCCTTTTATACGTTATACTTATTTAGATTTACGAATAAAAATAAATTCGTTCTGAAAAATGCAATAATCTATTCTTCATTCTCAAGTTTTTACAAATATATAACAGTCACATGAGCACCTAATTTATTCATCGGAAAATTATCAAAATTCTGTGACTCTAATCAAATGGAATGAGCTACTTACAAAAAAAAGGTTATCTATTCATCTCATTTCTTATTTGCAAGCCCCGATCTAAAATACAAGATATCACCATCTTCGACTATATAGTCTTTTCCTTTTTGCAAATATTTCCCAGCAGCTTTTACAGCATTTTCCGATTTCAACTCTTTTAGATCTTCAAAGCGCATTGTCTCCGCTAGGATAAAGCCTTTTTGTAGGTCGGTGTGTATACTAAATTACATGCATGAATTTATTAGCAATTAAAAAAAATAACCTATTGGAAGAACTGAGATTCTACTTACACGCCGGCGGCCTGCGGAGCTTTGGTGAGTTTCTAGAATTGATTGATTTGTTTATTAATTTATTCAATTACTTTATCTATTAAGAGAAAAATACTTACTCGAATCGTCCATGCTCTCACTTCATCAGGACCGCATGTGAAAAAGTACATTAATTGTAATGCTTGATATCCGGCCACAATAATTTTTGGAAGCGCAGATTGTGTCCCTAGTTCTTTTAATAACTCTTCTTTCTCCTCTGCGGTTGGAAGTAAAGAAAGTCGATATTCTAGAGCGGCACTAAAAGGAATCAGCAAATCACCAGGGTTATTTTCATCGATCCATGCCTTAACTTTTGGAAGCCTATTTGCGTTAATAATGATTTTTTAGCAACTATTTGAATTGAATATTTGAACTACAATAATAATA